CAGCGGTGGGTTTCACCACTTGATAATTAGAAGAGTTATTTACACAATAAGAGGAAGAAGTCATTTAGCTATTAGAATAGATTGCTACTAGATGTTTCTGCGAAAAGCTCCTTATGCACACATAAACAGCTGAACAGGAAGTGACAAGTCATGCTGCTAAAACCTTGAAATCGTTCCACTTCTGCTTTTATACAGAAAGAGTTAGTCCACAATACTTCCAAATATTCCTTTTAATAGTACCTTGCAGTACTTTTGATAAGAAATATAAGGATTTCTGATTGTTCTTGTTAAACATTACTGCATTACATATTGAACATAAAAGAGAGAAGAGACCCACTCCTCCTTGGTGATTTGAAGTGATCATTTCCAAAATTTGACATACAGCATATTTGATTATTTAATGATTATTAAATTATAGTTTTACTTTGTAGGACCTAACTAAACAGTATCAGTCCATTTATTTAAAAAAAACATTCTTATTTAAATCATGTATATTACATTACATTACTTGTCACTTATGAGACGCTTTTATCCAAAGCAACTTACAAACATTCAATACTGTGGGCCATCCCCACAGGAGCAATTGTGGGTGAAGTGTCTTGCCACAATATAAATAATAAGTGGTTATAGGCCAAAAGCAGAAACTTAAAGAATTACAATTCAGCTTTTTCGCGAAAAATGTGCTCATAGCAATACTTGTAAAAAGTCCCTACTGTTCTTGGGAGCACAATAAATCAAAGGATTATTTCCTCTCTGAAAAACTACCAAACATCAGACTGATTTGTGTCACAGTTTGGACTCAGTGGAGCGGAGAGAGCAGATGAGCATGAATCCTCTTAGTCTGAAGTTTACCTCTGCATTATTTCCCTGAAAGATTTTGCAAAAGAGAGAACTTAGTAGGTCTTATCTCCTTCCTTCAACACAGATGATCATGCAGAACTTTGCCAGCATGACTCGTGACTTATTGTCTTTTTAATCATTTTGCAGAAGTTTTTGACGTTGATGATATGCCAATAATTCTTAGTGGCTTTACGCTTGTGAAATTAATCACCACTCAACTGTTATATCCTTAAAATTCCCCTTTAAAGGGGCCCTATGATGCTTATTTACAGGTTTCATATTTGTAGTTTGTGCCTTTACTATGACATGTTTACATGCTTCAATGTTCAAAAAGCTCTTTATTTTTTGTATACTAGCGAGATTTCAGTCTGCTCTGATTGGTTAGCTGGCAGGCTCGGTTGTGACAGCTTATGGCGCTTTTCCATTGCAGGACCTAGCACGGCTTAGCACAGCTTAGTTTGGCCTTGGTAGGCCAGGCTCACTTTAAGCTGTGTTTCCATTACAGTTTAGTAACTGGGGTAGTTACTATAGTAACGCAGTGTAGGCGGGGCGATCAGCTGTTCGGCGGGCGGAGCGACGCTGCGTAAAACTGCCGTGACGTCATCTTCAATGCGAACCACAAAACCAAAACATCCGCCGCTAGCTGTTAGCACTCAGAGCTCACAGCTCTTCATATCTGTTCAGAAACTAGACAACAAGTACAAACCACAGACTGTCTGTGTCATGGCGAATACAGTCGCTGGTTTATTTATGTCTGTAGGCCGTTGTTGTGAGTGTGGACGGAGCATATACAACGTTAGCTTAGCCTGATCGATCCGATCTCCATTCAGAAAACACGACTTTTAAAAGGTTTTTCGCCTGCCGTCTTGTCTGCAGACCGGTATCAGTATGAAACGTGTATTACAATTAAATCACGGTAAAATATGTTCATTTTGTTGTAGTTGTAGCCCCCTTGCCAGCGATTCTCTCTGAGCATTCAGCAGTTGAGAGTGTTTGCGTCACTAGTTTAGCATATTCAGCCCGATTGTTGGTCCGGTAAGAACCTTGATTTTGGAGGGCCAGAAAAAAGGTGAAAAGGTAGCCCTGAGCCGGAACTACCCCTAGTGGAAAAGCAACACAAAAAAACGGGCCACCGCTTAAACCGTGCTACGTGCTGCAGTGGAAAAGCGCCATTAGAGATGTCCCAATTGAAGCATGGGAGTGATGTCACCAGGTTACGGAAGAACACAAAGGAGTGGGAAAACCCAAAAAAGCACAATAGGACCCCTTTAAATTAATGTGCTTCTTGTAAATCATGTTTGGGAGAAGTTGGTCTTCTTGACTCACATCCAAACTATAAGCATACCCCAGGTGTAGTTTGGGTGAAACAGATGAACGAGGAAAAAAGCTTCACTTTCTCTTTTCAGTTTTAGTCATTTGATTAACTTTCTCACTATTTCAGAAAATCCCATGATTTTGCATTTGAAAAACCTCTTTCTGCTTTTTTCTGTCTATTTCTTCGTCCTGTGGACAACAGAAAAGTGCATGTTTACATCAAACTAAATGCCCTTCTAGACGTATGCAGCCTCGATGAACTCTGCCTTGGTGCATGAGTCTATAACAGCAGTGCCTGAAATGGCATCATCTAGTGTGGTGATATGAATTTAGCTCATGAGAAATGTAGATGAATTCGGCCCCCTTCGCTACAGGCCATGAAAATGTCTCTAGATTTCAAAGCCCATGTGTGGTACATGAGCAAAACTTCTGAGAGATCTGTCAGGCGATGTACCCAGCGTCTAGTGCAGGCTGAAAAAAAGAGAATCTAGTCTTTGACTTCCTGAACTTCAAAGGGGCCTCACTCTCTCAGTGTGGCCATCTAAAGGCTCAGTGGTGTTTGACCCATCTCTATACTTCTCTCTGGAGCTTCTTTCACCTTTTCTCCCACAGATACATGTGTTTTGATTAACATTGCAGACCTTCAGACTCCTCTCTATAAACCACAGCAAAATTATTGTAGGAGCCTGAACCCCAGGATAAAAATGTAAGGAGGATATCGCTTCTGATATTGAAAACTTCTTGTTTTTTGCACTGCTGAACTTCAAAATCGTGCAGAAGTTTTTTGTTTGTTAAAAGAAACAAAAGGCCTCCACAAATGTTTGGGCTTGGATGCCTGCAGTTCTGCATTTGAGCGAAGGATTGAAGAGAAAAGGGCGAGAACATTTTAGACATTTTCGTAACATGAGGTTTGTGGTTTTTACGCAATATGACAATTAGCATTTTATCAAAGGTGGAAGGATGACACCTCCGCACCCATTTCCCCGATCCTTTTGTTTTTGCCGGAGAGTTGGTACACTTTTGCTTAGGTGTGTGTGTGACTGTGTATGCGTAATAATGCGTATGTGTGTCTTTAAGGGCAGCTTTTTAAGATAGAAATAGTCATTTTTTTCTAATTATTGTATTTGAGAGCACACTGGCATGATCTCACACACACACCCACACACACACACACACCCAACACACATACACACACACACAACACACACACACACACACACACACACACACACACACACACACACACACACACACACACACACACACACACACACACACACACACACACACACACACACACACACAACAATACAATAGGCTAATGGTCATTTCTTGTATACTCCATGTTGCAATAAAGACACAAGGCATTATCAGCATGTATTCAAGCCTTTGAAAGAAAAGATGGATGAAGTATCTTCATCATATTTTAAGAAACTACATCCTAAAAACTAAAACGCCATGTAACTGCACTCAGAATAGCTCTCATGCAGTTCAAAGGGGAACATTTTGCAACACTGTAACATAATAGCTTTTAGAAAAAACCTGCATATCATTTTTAAACTAGAACAATTACAAAAAGCTGTTAAAACAACAATTAAAATACACAATTTATTTGGAGCAATTATTTAATTAAAGGCCGATACGTGTGTGTTCCAATGGAAATATCAGTGTCCTATGATGTGACAGCGCACTTGTTTTCTGATCATGAGAAACCCATGGCCTGAAACCTTCTGTCAAACACAAGTGTCGCATATTAGTGAATTAATGCTCATCGACAGGCCGCATCTCAATGCTCAGTGACCCGGAACAGGCCCGCTCAGGGCTCCGAATACTCGCAGACCCGGGTGCTTGTTTTTTTAAAATCTCAATTTCAGTATCATCGTCTCTACATCCGCCTACTCGAGATATCGCGTTGAAGTTTAACAATCAGAAAGTTGGTTTCTCACTTGATCACATCTCCTTTTTAAATGAGCATCGAGAAGCCATAACAGACATAGTTTATTCTCACTGATTTCGATAAAGTCGATCCTAATATAAAAATCACCGGGTATTATTGCAAAGTAGGCCTACTGCATCCCGGGAGTAATGAGGAATTAAAATACACCACTTACGCAACACATGTAATAGGCTATTTATTGATTTGCCTCTGGATTAATTTCCCCAGGTTTTTTCGGGGTCAAGTAAATGTGTCAAAAGGTTTTCCAGCAACTCAGCTTGCAATTGCTATGTGCTCAATAACTTTTGACCACAGCCTCTTTTTTTTTGACGATTAACAAACAAAAAAAGAAAGAAAAGAAGAATAATAGCTAATTGTATATTGGATTTTACTGAAATAAAATGTTAAGTAGGCCTAAGCATTTTTATTTTGACAGGACTATCCATTTATAATAATTTACTGTAAGCGTTTTCCATTACGGCTCTTATGTTAACTTAGATTTTGCGCAAAAGGAAAGCGTAAATCTATTATGCTAAACATGTTCAGAGGTGATTGCCATCAAATAAATAACGTAAAGCTGCCAACACATCCGTCACCTGACGGCTGATGGGGATGCCTGCAAAGTAAACGGGAGCTAAATGATGAGTGAACCCTGACCTCCACTCAGCACAGACAGCATGGCAGGGGTAATGTATTTATCAGAAACAAACTGTTTTCAAGTTCAGTTGTATAGGAAGTTGCAGTGTTGTGGTATGTGTTCTTCCACAAGATAAGAGTAGTGGTGTAGTGAATTTGAATTTGAAAGTGTAAAGCCAAGTAGTTTTTAAAATGTCCTTCATCAAATCTGATAAGAGAGGGCAGTATTTTGTTATTTTGGGGAAAAAGGTGATTATTGTTGTCTGTCACTTACCTCCCCTGTTTGGTGATTATCATCTCGGTTTGGAACTTGTGGAACTTGGCCCATAACGGGTAGTTATTGAGCAGAGCCTGGGTCTTCCCGCACACCTGTAGCCCAGGTAAAGGGTAAAGAGGCGGCCGCTGGTAGCCGTGCTGAAAGCTGGCCGTGTAGTTCTCCGGGGAAGGAGAGTACAAGTCTTTATCGGCTGTAGAAAACCCGTCTCCCGCCACGGAGATGTACCCCTGCACGGCTCCGCTTCTTGGCGGCGAGCGCACCCCGCCGTACGGGCAACTACCGAGGGTCTGTGCGTAAAACCTGCCCGGCTGCGCTCCGTACCCTCCCACCGCCTGCTCCGAGTGGTACGGCAGAGCCAGGGCGTCCTGCCCGCTCTGAACAGAGTCTGGGTAGTAAAACCTGGCGTCCTGGATCCCCATTTTAAACTCTGCTAGATCCTTGCCGCCGCGGTGGAGGTGACTGCTGATGTCCGTGCTCTTTCCGAAAGTTTGCGTTTCAGTCCCATTCAACATGCTGAGGTAAAGGTTGCCACCTATGCCGCCCATTAGCAGCCCCGCTCCCGGTCTGTGCGTAATGTCATAAGGCTCCGCTGTTGCGTCCAGTTCAATAAGAGCATGCACAATAAATACAAAGCACAAAACGACTGTTATTCTCAGCAGCGCACAGACATGCCACAACTTTTTAAATGCAGTGTCTCACTCGGTCAAAGCATATCATTTAAGTGATCAGCTCACACCGCCTCATTAAGATATTTATCTATACACTTTTTTATTACCCGTGCAGCTGATTGTCTATTTTAACGCGGGGAGTCGCTACTAGTGACTCAAACACACGCTCAGGTTTTCTAACCTATGATATATACATTTTGTAATTGGTCATATTGTGGAGGTGTGTCTGATGTGGAGGGAGGACGTGATAGGCTCCAGATATGAAAGAGCCTTCCCCCGATCACACACAACACACATCACAAACACTGCCCTTAGTAAAAACGAAGTGTAAGTTGCTCTAAACATTGAAGAATAATATTATTTAAAATAAAAACACAACAGGAAATAACATACTAAAAAATAACTGATGTAATATAACAATTGAGTGCCAACAAACTCAATTTTGGGGACAATTTTGTCTATTTTCATTCTTTACATTAATAATTAACGTTATCATGATAAGTGTCCTGCAAGGAATTGAATTAAAACCAAACATTATTCATTAGGCCAATTAATTAAATTATTTCGTATAAGACATAACATTAACTTAACTTAACTTAATATGAAATGCATATTTTGCTTTGGGTTCATACGTTTCACGTCAGATGATTCTATGTGTTGTAGGCTAAATGTAATTATAAGACGAATGATTAATAATATATTTTTAAAAATAACTTGTTTTTTCCTAATGGGTCTTCCTACAAAACATGGTTTGACACTGTAAGCTTATCGGTTAACACATAAGCGATATATGGTCATTTAATACAAAATGAAACAAAACATCTTTGCCTTTTTTTGTCGCGTGATATAATATGAGCTTTTTCTTTTTTTTAACGCATTTTTTTCACACGTTCCTCCCCGGTGACGGGTTAATCCACAACCGGTTATTCTCATTTTTTATTTGAATAATGAAAATCTGTGATTTTTGTTAATAATGACGAGTAATGAAGCTGTGTGAATATTAAATGGATTTAATTTACCCTATTAGGCTATAACAGTCGTCACGTAGTGTTATATTATGAGAAGCATTTTTTTATTTGTATGAATTATATACACACCAATTAATACATAGAAAAAGTACAACTCAAATTCAGGTCATGAAAACATGAAATTAATAAAAAATATGTTTTTATACTTTTCTCACTTTCTTTTATTTGTTGTTGATAACTCACTAGAAAACTTAGAATGATAATGATGTCCGAAGGGGAAGTTAGTGAGTAGTTCAGCCTCTAAGATAAAAGACATGAGAAGAATCTCCAGGCAGAAATATACTATGACTCAAAATGATCTCACTCCCTGCAGCACAGGCCCTCAGTATTTACATGTTTACATGGATCTTGGTGTTGGCCTTTATGATGTTCACATGCTTGGTGTTGTTGGTCACAAGTTGCCAGTTGTGGCAGCATCAGGGAAGGTTTCAGTCCCAGGCAAATGTTCATTATTAACGTTCACAAACGTGGTTGTTGAAGCACGTAACCAATCACACATCATTTGATCTTGAAACAGAAAGGTTTGTAACACAGCAGCATTCTCTGCTCTTTAAAGGTATAATCATTTACATATCTGTATGAAAACAAGTAGACATGTCATGTATTTGGTTGGGTTACTCCAAATACTTTAAACCCAGAGAAATCCATAATTGTAATTGAGGTAACCCTTTGTTTCATTTCTTCGTCTGTAGGCTAATGGCGTGGAATCCCCTTTGAGCATGTGTCACGGTTCTGGTTGTTCGCTATATGCTTCCCTAGATTTACCTTTTTTATCCAGTTTTAATAAGTAACATTCCTTTGTAAAACGTTTTAGGTCATTTTAAGATGATGGAAGATGTTGTTCTCCGGGTGCCTGATCTTAAGTTCTCAGAAACAAGCTAAGCCAAGGTTAGCAGTAGCTATTCAGATTTTGACGAGAAACTGCTTTATTCACATGTTTATTCTTGAAATGACTGCATCTGTTTGTTTTTGAGTGGAGGATACAAATGCAGGTAATTCGGCTCTCAATGCAGAGGAACTTCCAAGTCCCGAGCTACTTTACGATGTCTCCAACATTATTTTGATTGAGAGACCCCTAGTGGCAGAAAATGTTGTAGGCCTATGTTTAAGAGCTTTTAGCGTTTTTTTTATGTTGCTGATCGGCTCAGTGTGAACAGAGAATCATAATCTCAGGTGAGATAACCCTGGGGTATAAACAGCGACACACACATTAATAGTTGAAACCCCCCTCCAGTGCAGGTATGACACAGTTATCCCCCTCACACTGTCACCGCTCCGTGTCTCTGTAGCAAGGTGAGCTCATAAGGGCACACGCTGAAGTCATCAGTGTTGACACTGGTAGCGAGAGGGCAACAGTGTGAGCGACACAAGCGCCGCCACAGCCAGCCAGGCGTGTTCACCCCACCCCACCCCCCATCACCACCTCCCCCCTCCACCTCCAGCTGGAGTCACCATTTCCTCCGCTCAGCTCTTCCTGCTTCCGGAAACAGCCCCGGGCTATCACCTTGTGAAGCACAATCAGCTTTCATTTACTTCTGGAAGTGTTAATAGCACGTCAGGTGGCTCTCGTGTTCTCATGCATGGGAAAATCGCAGAGTGAAAGCAGAAGAACAGGATAAATCATTTTTAATGTGGATGTAAATCCACCCTTTTCAACTAACAGATTACATTTGGATTTATCCAGAATCTGCTACTGTAGTTTGCACATGTGCCTGCAGAAATGTCTGAGCTCCAGAAAAGGTCAGGTGGAATGGCCTTCCCCTGTTCTCCTTAAATATCAATACACGCAGCTATATCTCCTACTAACCCTGTATACATGTAAACTGGTTTAAACCCTTTCAAGCTCTCTTTTTTTCTACTTTCTGTCTTGTTTTCCCGATTCATGTGCAAGTTCTGGAATATCAAAGGCATTCATTCCAACATTAGCTAGCCTATAGGCTATGCTAGTTTAGATAAGTACATTTTTCAGATCATGTGGTCGTCTGCCTGCATCTTTCCTTGCAAAAAATAGGTCTACAATTTTCAGATAGAGGCGGTTATCATTATGAAAGAAAAATACGAAATAGTGAATGTAAAAAAAGTTTGGCCTCCATGATCCCCCGTCGGAGATGTGCCTCAGAAAGCTTTCCCCTTTTTACCCCCTTATAGGCGCTGCCTGTGTCTCATTCTGTGTGAGAGGAAGTTCTGAAAAGTGAATTATAATCGCCCTCATACTTGCAGACATGATAGGCAACTGGACACTAGTAAAATCTTGACGGCTGTAAAATAATCTTGTAAAAAGTGAGTGTGGTGGACTTGAGCTGACAGATTTAGACATGATAGATGGGCGCATCCGCAGATGTCTTAACGTGTCTTCATTAACGGTTTCACCTGACCGCTCAATTAAAACAGATGATATCTTGTGAAAAGGAAGACATGGCGATGATAACCAGGTTGTGAGAAATACACCCTGAAATCATCTGGTTGTTAGAAATATATAACAGGTTTTTTATATCTGTAATAAATGACAGTTTGGATTTCTCACTCACATTAAAGGCATCAGTTTGCGTGAGATGGAGAACTTGTAAGGCAGTCAAACAGCGTCTGAACCTTCTTCCCAAGCACTTTTCCAATGTTGGAGTTTCAGACCATTTTTGTAACTTTCAGAAGCCAGGGATCGAACAATAACACTTGATTCAGGGAGCTGTTGCTCAGGTATATCAAAACCGAAGTTAAGAGCATTCTATCAAGTCAAAGTTCATGTTCTGTTGCAGGACAGTCATCCCGGCCTCTTACGGCATTAATAAAGTCCTATAACATCTCCCAGCTTCCTTCTTTGTTCCTGACAATCCTGCCTGGTATCAACAAATGGCATTAAATAACACACCAATTTGTTTTTGCATACAACCACTACACAGTTTTTGCTTTTAATGTGTCATTTTCTGCTTCATTTATATTGAATGCTCATTAAGTCATATTACTTCCTTTCACCCAGAAAAAGCAGTTTCTCTCGAGAGAGAGTCTAACACAAACAGTTGAGTTATATACATTGACAACTTAACTTACATAACTTCATTTATGTAACAAACATCATTTAAAACCCAACCCAAACTATGATCTTTTTTCGAAACACAACCAATCTGTTTTTGTAATTTTCACTTTTTTAAAACTGCATGTGATGAAAGGGAACGCTGCATTTAATGACATGCTAGTAGCTTATTTTTGTTGACATTTTCAACGTTTCTCTTGGGAGTCTTGTACACGTCTCCCACAGATGTCTTTGGATGAGTTCTTCCGACTGAACCCTTTAGGTGGGTATAGTTTTGATGCTGACAGCGCTTAGTTTACAGCTTGTTCCAGCTGAATCTGCACTGGAAAGACCACCGGCCCCCATTTGAAACCTGAGTAGGCTGCATGTTTCTCTAACTCATGACCACAATGTTCACTATGTCAAACGCATATTTATGCTTGTTGGTAAAACACATTTCCTGTATACTGTATTCCAGCCAAAACAGCTTGATTGAATACTCAGCCTAACTTCTTAATAATGTGTTTTTTTATTTTACTGTTATCCTCATTGCTTCAAGTTTCAAGTCAACTATTCCTTTCAGGTGTAAGACCACCTCAGCCACAAATATCCGCGTCTGGACATAATGCCGATGTGGGTGGGCATGGCATGTCTGACAGACTTCACAAATCAAACCCGGTGCACAGGCTGAGCCAGGGAATTAGTTTCACTGGGACTCCAGTTTGGTGCACAGAGAAAGCAGTCTAATTACAAAATATGACGTTTCCTCACGTAGCATGGGAGATTTATCTCTTGCTTCCAAGTGAAAATAACTATCTAGTCATTAAATCATAAGAATCTCTGAGTTTGATGAACTACCGGACACTGATTTATTTATCCGACGTAATTAGGCAGTTGAAATCATCAAAAAGAGTGTAATCTATGATGAGCAGGAAAATATTGATGGTGTTAAATCCATATTTTCGTATTTCAAATCCTATTGTTCTTTGGAGGCTTTTGAATCTAAAAACCAACTCAAACACAGTAAGAGTAATAGTTTGCCGTTTTAGATTTAATAAGAGGAAGTCATTTTTAAATACTTATTTTTTGTCTAAAATGCCCAATTGTGACTCCTTTGTTCTCGAAATCTTGT